TTGCTTATGATGAGAATGTGAAGATCCATTTCTCATCTTTCTTCCACCTGAGTCAGTATTTTCTTCCAGACCCTGTGTGAAGACTTCCCTGATTCCCCTTCCTTTCCCCCAGCACTCACTGACTTTTCTTACTTTTCAGCAGCAGATACATAGTGATAAAGGCAGAAACTATTGAACAGCAATTGAGGTGCCCTGTTGGCACCTGAACACAGGCATGGCATGACTAGCAAAGGGGTCAGAAGTTGCTGTCACAAACAAATCACTGGAGCCTTCTCACTGCCTTGCAGACCCTCCCTGGCATTCCACTATTAACATTACAATCCAATACCCCTATCAACTGCTGAACTTCTGATTTACTTTCTTCTAATCTCCTCTAATGACATGTCTTCTGGGTTGATCCCCCACCATTTCTGACATTTTTACTCATAAATCAGTAGTTTTGTTACATCCCCTGGACAGTTGCTTCCTTTAGTCTGTGCCCCTCAGTGCCTGATCATCCACTTGGCAAGGATCAGTTCTGTCTACCTGGGGTGCTGGCTGAGGATTAGAGGCAGACTGGACCTAGTGTTTTACTCTAAGAACCCAGGAGTAGAAAGACCCAGATAGTGAGGACCAGCTAAGTCATTAGAAAGGGCTTAATATTAAAATCAACATCATCAGGTCTAAGGGTCATGTGCAGACATAACAATAGGAGGCAGAGCGAAAGGGACTGGTGGGCAGTAAAATAGGAGGCAAGGCAAATGGGTCACACAGGATTATAAGCTCTGTAAGCAATAGGAGCCCTGTCTGTCTTGTTCATCACTGTATCCGAGCACCTCAAAAGTCCCTGACACATTGTAGGCACCCCATACTTATGAGTTTCATGAATAAGTGTCTTGGATGATTGCCACACCGTTGTTGGCATCTCTTAGGCTACGCAACTCTTAGCCGAGTCATAGCCAGTGAATTGAAAGGCACAGGGCTCTCTCCTCAAGGCTATGGAAGCTCCTGAATTGTGTCTGCACAGCCCCACCCTGGATTCATCAAGTGTCTCTGATTGTTCCACATGGACTTGTCTCATCTCGCCACTTAGCTTGTCAGCCTGTCTTCCTTGAACTGCACTGAGAATGCAGTTGGGACTCAGCAAACACTAATTGGTTCAGGTTGAATTGAGCTGGGCTTCCCTGGATAACTCTTGCAGTTTGTTATGAGTTATTAAGTTCTCCTCCCCTCGTTAAAGAATATTGCTTTCATGACCTTCAACATTTGTTTAAAAATATCCTTTCATCGAGGAAAAAATAAGAATTGGATGCTTGCAGCCAGACATGTAGCTTCATAATGATGACTGGATTATAAAGCTCATTACATCTTAGAATTTGGAATGAAACCACAGCCTTTGAAGTTGGTTTCCATGACATGCTTCATCTCACTTCCTTTCTTCAAAGAACATGCAAAGGTGAATCCTACCAGCTTCTGAGGCAGGAAGTCATCATGTGATTTCGCAATTACCCTCCAGTTTGCCAAGACAAAATTTGGATTTTTCAATAGTAATTCAGTGATTATTCCAAAAAGATAAGTTTATGTAGACATAATCTGCCACTGGTTTAACATGAGTTTTATTGACATAAAAAATCATACAGAAAATTATTCCACACATAAACTATTGTTGCCATCTTGACAGAAATCCAGATTTGATTTTGAAAAGTAAGAGATACCTACTGTAATTACACCTAAGCCTTGATCTGAAGCAAGGCTTCTTGGCCTTGGCACTATTGACATTTTGAACCAAATGATTATTTGTTGTGAGGGCTGTTCTGGCTTGTGTTGCACAATGTTTAGCAGCATCCCAGGCCTCTATGCACTAGATGCCAGTAGCACCCTCCCACCCTCTTTGTGATAACCAAAAATGTCTCCAGGCACTGCCAAAGGTCCTCTGGAGTGGCGAAATTACCCTGGTTGACAACCACTTATCTAACACAATCCTCAGGTCCAGTGTGGTGGAACCTCATTTTACGGAGGTCTTTTGATTCTGCACAGACTTCCCAACTATATTGTCTTAGTGTGATAGTAGATCAGGTAGCATTTTACCCCCTGCTTTTAAACAAATATGGTACTTGACTGTGCTTTCTTTCCTTCATTAATACTAAACCTGTATTAAATTGTAGGCTTCTTAAGTGTAACAACTGCTTTCTTTTGCGTTGAATTTTGTCACAGAAGTATGAACTGTGTTTGTAAGCACTGATATAAGCACTTAGTGTATGTAGACTAACCCCATAAAAATTCAACTAGAAGAAATTCATGTCTGCTTTTAACTAGCAGAATATAAATGCTATGAGGACATTTTTTTTTCCAGTTTTGTTCATTGCTGTATTCACAGCACCTACAAGAGTACCTGATAAGTAGGTGCTCAATAAATATTTGATGAATGAGTTATATCACTTTCTTTCTAAAATAAAGTGGAATGAGGTCCTTCCCCCACTTCATAAAGGATAGCATTTGGAGTCCTTAAACTGGGGATCAAAGCTCTGTTTAGTTTGCATTTTCCAGTCTTCATCCCTGCTTTTTTAATACACAATACCACCTCTTTGATCCAAGCTTATCTACTGATGCTTTCTCAAATGCCCATAAACATCTTTGTCACTGCACAACTGCTCACTTTGTTTTCGCTGTTTAGAATGTTCTTTCAAGCTCTCCACTGAGTCAAACATATACAATATATACTTGAAAGGTCGAGTTATTTCATCTCTCCCAGGTAACGTTTTCTAAGCCCATGAACTCATAAAGAACTTTCAAAGCCTAATACTTACTGGTTTGTACCTCCCCCTGGGCATTTTAATTCTGTAAAGTACACCACCTTTCATCTTACTATTTTGAATTATTATTTTTATGTGTGAATACCTTCTCTTCCAAGTAGATGCAACCTTCCTGAAGGCAGAAATATATTTTTATCTTTTTTCTTTAGCATTAAATAGTCTATTAAATAACATCTACATAGTGAAGGGACCTTATTCTTATTAATTCTTTCATTCATTCAGTTAGTTATTCAACTAATAGTTTTTGACTGCCTACTCTGTGCTAGGAGGCAAAACAAATACGGTTCCTGTTCTCATGATATGTTTGGGCCAACTGGAGAAAAAGTGGTATCTAATGTAGTGAGAACTAAATTTAGTCATAAGACTGTGGTGTGAATGCAAAACACTGTCACTTACTAGGTATGTGATCATTTAAGCTCTCAGCATCTCAATGTCCCCATCTCGCAAGTGGGAACAATAATGCTTGCTCTGTCTACCACCCATGATAAAGAAGCTCAAACCACATTGCCTTTTATGTGCAGACACTTCTAAATGACAGGGTACGGTGGCTTTAATTTGTTCAGAGATGCTTTGATACCTGGAGACTAATTCTCATCCCCTTGAGTATAAGATGGACCTAGTGACTTACTTCTAGTAGATAAAATAAAGCAGAAGTAATGACATGCAATTTTGGACACAAAGCCATAAAAAGGCAATATGGCTTTTGACTTAGTCACTCTGTTTCTTGAATTACTTGGTCCAGAGGAAGCCAAATGCCATATTGTATGCAGAGCTATAGAGAAGAACATGTGCTGAGGAACTGAGATCATCTATATGCTAGAGCTTAGAAGCAGATTCTTTAGCTCCAGTCAGACCTGCAGATGACTGAAGCCCCAGTCAACAGTGTGACTGCACCTCATGAAAGAACCCAGGTTAGCACCTTCCAGCTAGGCTGCTCCTGAATTTCTGACCCCCAGAAACCATATGCGACAATACATGTTTTGTAAATTGCTAAAATTTGAGTTATTTTTAATGCAGCAAGGGAAAACTAATACACAGGATACTGGAGAGATTTAAGGTTTTATTATTTTTGAATGTGCTAATACTTGGTGAATGAAAAATGCCATAATTAACTGTGGTTTACTATCGGTGGTGAGTTAAAAGTAGAAGAAAAAGAGGCTTCAAAAAAAGAAGAAAAGAAAAATTACAAAACATTAAGAACATGAGAAAATCAGATGGATGTGAAACGTTTGATGGGTGGTTTGCAAGCTTTTCTACCACTTGCTTCATTTTCTGAGAAGTATCAACCTGTGACAGTGACTGCAGACTAGATGCCAAAGGTTACCAGACAAAGGAATTGTTCATTCCCACTGACTGCTTTTGTTTTATTCCATTTTCAGTTCTAATTTTGAGCTAAAATTGATAGTTTTAATTAAATGAGAAAAGAGAGCCTTACTTCTACTTTACATAGAATATAAGCTTTTTTGTATTAGAGAGTCACCATGGTTCTTTGTTAGACACAAAGGCCACGGACATGGGAATTTATGATGTGTTGCATCAATGACAACTTTTGAGAGTCACTGCCACTCCTTTGCCATAGTATTGCTGACCCAGGCTGACCTCCATTATTGATGATGCCTCAGATGGGAGGGCTGAATTCATAGTCCTCACCAGTCAACTTTGTCAACATTAATTTGAACCAGAACAAATTTAAATTTAAAAGGATTTAACCTCCTTTGGCCTATCCCGATTTACAAACAATCTCTTAAACTCTCCACTGAGAACATTGTTTTGGAGAACGACTATCAATTTATTAACCTATTTAATAATAAATACCGAATTTAAATTCCTCACTGAATATTTATTTATTGACCTTAATTTTCCCAGGGCTTCAAGTAAAGGATTTTGGAAGTTATGTTAACCCTTTGAAGCCATGAGAATGACACTTTAATATGTTTAGGAGTTTCTTTACTAGATGATGAAAATGTTCTGAAATTGGCTGTGGTGATGGTTGTACAAGTCTGTGAACATACTAAAAACCATTAGATCATACATTTTAAATGGGCGAGTTAATGTGACGTGAATTATATCTCAATAAAGCTGTTAAAAAATAAAACTCGATTTCAGCCAAAAAAAAGTCATAGCTAAGAAACAGGCATGAACCATGCAAGTTTGCTGAAATTTTATCTGCTTGGTTAAATTAATAGCTCAGTGTGAAAACATTCTTACTTGTAGGAGATACACTGCTGGCTGGAGAAGGTTGGGTGTCAAGGGTAGATTCTGTAACACTCAGTGGAGGGTCTGTTGTGGACATTTCAGAACCTGAAAGGATTAGAAAGATATTTATAATGAACAAAATATTGCAATAGAAAGATAAAGTATTGCCTTAGTTCCTAAATACACTTTCCTTTATTTATTCATCATGTAACAAATCAATATATTGGGGGCCTATTATGGTCAAGGCAGTGGGATATAATGATGAATGACAAAGACATGGGATTGTCCTTAAAGGGTCGATGGCCTAGAAACTAGGCAGCCAAGCATTGTGTTGAGTACCATGACAGTGGAAGTATAGGTGGCCACAGGAACGCAATGAAAGTGCACCGATAAAGACTGGGAGGTCTGAGAGGGCTCCCTGGAAAAAGTTACACTTTACCAAGACCTGGTAAAACTATTATAGCATTTAATATTTTGAAGTGTTTGATAAGTAATCATGTAGTTTACAAAATCCATAAACTCGCAAAAATTTTTATATCAGCAAGAGGAGAAACAAAGATACAACTATCCAATTGGATGTAACATTAGTAAACTTGTGATGTTATTCTGCTTTCTAAAATGTTAACTTTTGTCATAATATTTTTGTTTGGCTACAACTTTTTCGTGTGTGTGTGTGTGTGTGTGTGTGTGTGTGTGTGTTGGGGGGAGTTGAAATAGAGACTAGAATGTGGTTTTACTTATGTTTTACATTTATGTCAATTCCTTAAATCTCCATTACTGTATTTAAAAATAGCCCTATTGGAAGGACAATTTACAAATGCCAGAAGGTTCTATTGACTTTAGGAACATGTGGGTTAAATGTGCTTAGATGATTTTGAAGTTAGAAGATTTTATGATTTTTGTAGATATAATGTTACTGCATACAGTGTTACACATCTGAAGAACTACATCAATTATCTGGATGTTTAATTAATAATTAAACTATTGGTTCTATTCTGTAATGTACTTTAAGGGACAAGTATATTTTACTTATGGAGAGCACATAGCCCAGTGGGAGGAATTTGTTTTTCTAAGCTAGATGCATGTATGTTCTCTTCTCATTGTTAGTAGCATTGCTATTGCCATTGGCTGTCGGGGGGCACTCATAGCTAGCTCTGACCTACTACTATATGAATGCTTTTGTGCAAATAATCTCTGAGGAGGTGGAGGACAGTTATATGGGAAGTACATGACTAGGTTAACAAAATGACCATCCTTTTTCTTCATACATCCCAAATAAGTTTGGACTCTTCAGCATGACACACAAGTCTAATTATTATTTGAGCTGTCATTACACTCCCAATTTCCTCTTGTTGCCTATCATTTTTTCCATCTCTCTCAAATAATACCCTCTATCCAATAAGCAATATTTCAACCCAATTTCTGAAACACAGTATTCTCTCTGTGACTTCTGGGAATTCTTGGTCTTAATTTATGTGGTTTGCTGACACTTTCATATCCCCAAACTTCCCTGAATGTACCTTCTCAAGCTGAGGAAGCCTGGGGATCTTTGTGATGTGCTCACCCCTCAGTGTTGACCCTAGCAAATGCCTCATAACTCTGTGTCATCGTGTATGCCCCTCAGGGGAAGTCACTGTTTTGCTCCGCACCATATTTATGGATTCTGGCAAATGGAAGTAGGTGAATCAATGCATGCAAATTTATTCTTAACACTGAAAGAAAGAAGACCAGCATTAAGTGTGTGTCTGACAGCTGGTGGATCATAAGCATTATCTTCCAAAGTGCTACCTTAATAAGACAGCGCATTGGCTTGGAAAATAAATGCCTAGACGTTTTTCTCTGTATATTGATTAAAATAGAGGTTGGCAAACTATGGCCTACAGTGAAATCATGTTTATAAAATTGTTATTGGAACACAGTTTTTCCCTTTTTTTTTTTTCACATATTGTCCATGGTTGCTTTTGTGTTAGGGTGACAGAGTTGAGTAATTGTGATAGAAATTAAAAAGTCTACAAAGCCTAAAATGTATTTACTATCTAGCCCTTTACAGAAGAAGGTTGCCAGTTCCTGGAACAGAAGATATTGATACGTTATGCTCAATTTCCACAATGGGAAACTTTTATTTTTCATTGATTAAATATTTCAGTTTTAGGATACTTTTCTGCCGTATTTCATCACCAAGTGATTTTGTAAGCTGAGATGTTCAGCCTCATAGTGCATTAATAATATATTGTTGTAAGATGTGCATTTTGAGATGAACACTTTGTCCTGTGACAGAGGTGAAACATAGTATTCAACATAAAATATGGGGCCTAAAAATGTCTGTCTAGTTTTAGATTAGACTGTAAAGTGGAAACTCTGCCTTGGTCAAAACAAAACTCAGGGGGTATGAAAAGAGTGGTTAAAACCTAAAAAGGAGAAACAGTTTCCCAAAACCCAAATGCAGAATTTAGCAGAAACACCTCTGCCAGTTTCCAGATCATTGCATTTACCGTAATGTCATAAGACGGTAAGCTGCCGCCTAAAGCCACTTCATCCGTTCCTGGGTGTGTCCATTCGGTTCTGGCAGGGCTCTCAGAACCAACCTCATGGGCAGCAGTAGCCATGGGTGTGTCCCACAGGGCAACTGGCTTAATTCTGGGGTTTCCTCAGAGCTTGTATAAGCCCTTATCTTGTCCACCTAGAAGTAAGCCAGATCCCGGGGTTTGCTAGGTCCTTTCTTCTCAAAGTGTTGTCCACAGACAAGCAGAATAGGTTTCTTTTAGGATCTTGTTACAAATGCAGAATCTCAGGTCCCACCTAGACTTACTTAAACAGAATTTTTGTATTTTAGCAAGATCCCTGGGTAATTTATATGCATATTGAAATTCTCAACTGATACTCTCAGGAAGGATCAGTCATGGGTATGAGGTCAGCTGCACTGAGGGAAGTCATGAAACAGGAAGTATTTGTCTGACATCTTCCACATCAATATGCAGTGATCCTCCTGTTCCACTATTAAGATATCTTTTTGTTACTCCTCTTTCCACATGCTAAGATACACATGCGTACCTACACACACATACACCTACACTCCTGTCAATGCTTAACTCCCTTTCTATCACAAAGGTCTTGATCTCAACAGCTACAATCAGAAATCCACTTAATAAACAAATCCCTGTCAAGGGTGATGACAACCAAAATATTATCCACCCCAAGGGGCATTGTACTCAACTTTTGGATTAAAACAAGACAAAGTATCTCCCACCCACTCCCCAAAACAAAACCCATGAAACCCAGCTCTTTAAATCTGTCAAAAATAGACTCAGCATTGCCATGAGTTTTGACATTTTGACAGGCTAGCAGGGCAGGAATTTTTTTTTTTTTTTTTTTGCACTGTTGCCCAGGCTGGAGTGTAGTGGCATGATCATGGCTCACTGGAGCTTCAGACTCCTGGGCTCATGCAATCCTCCCACCTCAGCCTCCCGAGTAACAGAGGCTAATGACATGCGTCACCTTGCCTGGCTGATGTTTTGAATTTTTTAGTAGAGATAAAGTGTCACTATGTTGTCCAGGCTGATCTTGAACTTCTGCACTTAAGCAATCCTCCTGCTTCAGCCTCCCAAAGTTCTGGGATTACAGGCATGAGCCACCGTGCCTGGTCCATGTTTTCTTTGAAAGACTTTTTTTCTTAGTGGTAGTTACTGTGGATTGTGGGAATTTTGCAGGTCCTGGTGCACAGATAGCTGCCTGAAGAGTCACTGATCACCCTAACCCTAATCCCATGCCCTTTCTGAGTTTTCTAGAATAGGGATCACTGAGCACTAGAGCTTCTTGGGAGACCAGGCATAGGTGGAGAAGGAATCACCTCAAAGGGCTGTTACTTCACAGTCTTCAACATTAATACCCTTTTCTGGAAACAAGAGGGAGCAAAGAGTAAAACTTCTTCCCTTTTCTCACTAAAACTTTTTCCTACTGTGTAATATTCTTAGCATTTCTCTAATGTAGCACTCAGGGATGGCAGATTTTTCTTCTGTGTCTTCATCTCAGTATCTTGTCTACAATAATAGCTTGGTAAGGCAATGACTCTTGCACCACACATCAGAAGTTTACTGTGGAGTTCATAAAGCGTCCAGCAGTACCATCACAGACAGACAGCATGTGTGGAAGTAAGTGTTTAAGAGCTTGCAACAACAGGGAGACATAACACAGTGATGACATTGCTTTATAGAGCCTTGACTGCATCTTCTAAGTCAGTCACATAGATAGATGCCAGAATGGGATGAGAATGTAAGCTTTAATTTTGAGAAATCGAACTCCTCAAGATTGATTTTCTTTCATATTTGATCACAAAGGATAAAGACTCATTTGGCAGTTTAAAATTAACCACCTGTTCAGAGCCCCAAATTATGCTAGATCAAGGTCTGCCTTATACAATTGGAATTATGGTATGTTTTCAGGATCAGAATCAGTGTTCTTCCTATTACCTAGAAGGTATTCATTATTTTCGGATACTGAAATCAAGCACTGTTTTAGCATCAGAAAATATTAGTTTTACAGACACGGTTCTGCCTATAATGGGAAGAGGGTTCTCTTTAGGAATTGGAGCTTTTGGGGTCCTTTAGCTCATGTCCTTAGATTCTGCCAAAGCTACTGACAAATCTATGTGAGAATCAGCTACCTCCACACTGTTCCAAGACTGCAGCCCTATTATGTGCAGCTTTCCAGGAAGGAGCTGACTTATTCCTGAGGGAATTAGGTGAAGTTGAGTAAGGCTATATATAAATATATCATGATTTCTGAATGATTAACTCAAAGTACACAGGTCGATGTGTTCATACATATACATATACATACACACAGACACACAGGCAGGGCTACGGGAGTGATGCCAATGCCCCAGCATCAAAATCACACCTGCTTCTGAGTAGTGGGGATAGATTTGTGTTGGGCATACACTCTTCTTCATAACCAACCACTGCACTTGTGAAGGAACTGGACAGAACCCAAGATGCGGATTGGGCTCTTGGAACAAAGAAAAACGGTTTCTTTCTTAAATTATTCTGTGTTTTTATGAGTATGTTATAGATTATGATATCTCTGAAAATAGGATGTGGTTAAATAGATTAATGCTCCTATAGAGTTGTGATAATGATTTGCAAATATATTTACGTTTTATAAGATTACTGTTAAATATGAATATTTGACAGTTGTCATTACTTCTATTTTTCTTCAGGCATATCTGTTGTCACTGTATTTGTTGAGGTATTAGTTTATCTTTTATGTAGCAAAATCTTCATTATTTCGTCTGGTTCAGGGTAGTAAATACTCTGGTTAGTCAAATGATATAATAACTACAGTAATCCTATATAACAATTTTCAAGTCATAAAAGTCTTCTATTAGCTAAATACTGTGCTTGAACCTAGAGATACTACAATTATTAAGATACAATCCCTATTTTTATGGTATTTTTATTGTACACATCTTATCCCTTCCTAAATATCAAAAGTATATATGTTGTACATAATGGAATGTTTCTAAGGATGCAGAAGGAATTTTAAGGTCTTTTAAATCTTTTTTGATCATCAGTATTAGTATTAATTTTCATTATGTGATGGATTAATAAAAATGCTAGCTAATTAAGAGTTAGATGAATTAAATTTGAACAAAAAATTTGCAGTATTCAGCAGAAATTCTTTGTGAAAACATGAATCAACTATTTTATTTGAAGAATTCTTTTCACTGGAGTCTTACTTGTCAAAAATGTTTGATAATTTGAAATAGTTATGAGTTACATAGAAAGTTTTCTGAGATTAAAATGTTATGGATGTGATAAGCATTTTACTTGTTCCCATTAAAGATATTCTGAATTTATGGCAGTCTTGTCAAATGCTTGTTGAGCTTATTAAATAGACAACTCACCTAAGAGAAAAGTGATCTTTTCTGATGAGATGTTCCACACTTTATTTCCTGGGACTGGAGACAGAGCCATACACCAAATGGTCAAGTTGTCTGATTGGGCTGGTTTATTACTATGTACCCTTGTTAAAACAGACTTCAGTTCCAGAAATCCATCTTTGCCTTTTCTCTCTTCATTAGTAATATATATTCCTGCCAGACAGATAAGAACATGGTTAGTCACTAACATTTTATGTAAGAGCCATATAATAATGCCAAGGCATGGCATGATCCATTTATGATAATGTAGAGTCTAAAGTGGTCAAATGGCAGCTTCTCTGCAGTGAGGGTCAATTTCAGCAGATCTGGAATTAAATTGAGCTGTTTGCTCAAGCTTCTACATGTCATCGATCCATGGTCAGGGTATAAAACATATTGATCAATAGTGTTGCTTTGTTCGTGACCATGTGTCCAAAATGTTTTGAGGCAGATTATCCCAGCTCACCAGCATTGTTTGTTGACAACTGTGAGACTGATAATTTACACCTAGTCTAGGTTAGACCTTGGGAGAGCTCTGCTGTGGATTCTGGTTATGGTGCAGGAATATACCTAAGTGACCAGTAAAACATAAAGCAATCTTGGTTGGGACTCCGTTTTGGACTACCCACTTCTGAGCTCTTCTGTGTATGTATCAGTAGTCTCTGAGCTGAGAGAGAAAGTGTGCCTGGCTATGGCCCTTAGAGAGGGAGGACGAAGGAGCTCATATCTGACTTCTCTGAACTCCTGGCTGTAAGTGTAGGATAGGATATGCTGCATATTGTAATATTTTTGTTACGTTGTCTCCTCTTCTTGAAATAAGCTGTAGATTTGTAAGCATTGTATTTTGGGTCCCGTGAGTCTTCTTTAGAAATCAAACTCTGTTTTAAACTGTTATGTTAGTACAACCTCCAAATAGCATAATTGGCAGCAGAAAATTAATGTAAAACCAGCTATCACTATATGTCAGAATTTTCTGGATTCTCACAGCTTTTTCACATTAAAGATTCTCAACACCAATTCTGATGTAATTATTTACCAAAGTAATAGCTAAATGCAGTTGTGTGCCGATGCAATTCTGACCACAAAATCTAGCCTCTAGTGTGGTGAAATCTGGGCGCTTTGCCTGTGCAGGGCTTGTTTAACAGGATAATATATTTATAATAACTTTTTTTTTTGAGATGGGATTTCCCTCTTGTTGCCCAGGCTGGAGTGCAATGGCACGATCTTGGTTCACTGCAACCTTCGCTTCCTGCATTCAAACAATTCTCCTGCCTCAGCCTCCCAAGTAGCTGGTATTACACGTGTCCACCATCACACCCAACTAATTTTTTGTATTTTTAGTAGAGACGGGGTTTCACCATGTTAGTCAGGCTGGTCTCGAACTCCTAACCTCAGGTGATCCACCTGCTTCGGCCTCCCAAAGTGCTGAGATAACAAGTGTGCACCACCGTGCCTGGCCTATAATAACTTTTAACCTATATTTTTAGAATTGTATTCTGTCATTGTTGTGGGTGAATTGTTTTTTAAAAATAAACTAATAAAACCAATAATAATCTCAAAATGCATCAAGTGACCAATACACTTATTAACATAAACTTTCAATTTTATCACTTAAAAATAATTCAGAAAGAGGCCAGGCATGGTGGCTCACGCCTGTAATCCCAGCACTTTGGGAGGCCGAGGTGGGCGGATCACAAGGTGAGGAGATCAAGACCATCCTGGCTAACACGGTGAAACCCCATCTCTACTGAAAATACAAAAAATCAGCCGGGCGTGGTGGCGGGTGCCTGTAGTCCCAGCTACTCGGGAGGCTGAGGCAGGAGAATGGCATGAACCTGGGAGGCGGAGCTTGCAGTGAGCCGAGATCGCATCACTGCACTCCAGCCTGGGCAACAGAGGGAGACTCTGTCTCAAAAATAAAATAAAATAAAATAAAATAAAATAAAAATTCAGAAAGAGTTGTGTGACTCAGTTGTTATTGAAGACGGATTGAACTTTGAGGAAAAATGACTCAGGAGAAAGGAGAATGGCTGTTGTTCAGGCAGGGACAGCTGAGATTATTCTGGTAGAGGCCATCATGGTTACTACTTATAAAAACATGGCTTTGTGAATTATCACCTGAGCTTGTCTTGATGTGTGTTCCTCCTCCAGGAATTTTTAATCCTCCTGGGGAACATGTGCCTTGTCAAGAAGCCAACTCTTTTACATAGGCTTCCTCTAGTGCTTCACCAACACCTGCCTTAGATCCTCACATAAAAAGGTAGAAATTATTTATTGGCTGATGTAAAGCAGTGGTGCTGTTAATTGAACATATTGTATTGAAATAAGAAAGACATGGAAAAACAGGTAACTATGTTATAAAGGCAGAAAACATTTTAATAAATATATGTAGACTTAAACTTTTTGTCCTCATCTAAGAGATTCCTTTTACTGATAGTTAAATAAAATGTTTGGATGTTGTTTGTCTAAATCAATTGTATTTCTTTTATTCTGGAAAATGTTACATTCCACTCCCTTGGAAGAGCCAGATGAAGCATCAGAAAATGACATTTGGTAGGCAGAATGATGTTTTTCTTGGAATGAGAATCATTCTTAAGTGCCAAGATCAACTTGGGCAATGACAATTTCTGATGTCCTTTGTTTTCTTTCTTTTTGTACAGAACTTATTTCCATTGTTTAATTTCCTTACCTTCTTTTTCATCATGAAGAAAACTTCCATCTATAAACCATATGATATTTGCTTTGGGGAATACATTCTTTAGTAAGCAGGTAAATGTTCTCTGGGGTAAAGACAGAAAAAGGGTTATTTGCAAATTTCTAAGAAACTGGTACTCCTTACAACTTACTAACATTCATATAACATAAGTTGGCAAAAAAGAGTTTCTCCACTTTAATAGGAACACTTTTACACTGTTGGTGGGATTGTAAACTAGTTCAACCATTATGGAAAACAGTATGGCGATTCCTCAAGGATCTAGAACTAGATGTACCATATGACCCAGCCATCCCACCACTGGGTACTGGGTATATACCCAAAGGATTATAAATCATGCTGCTATAAAGACACATGCACACGTATGTTTATTGCGGCACTATTCACAATAGGAAAGTCTTGGAATCAACCCAAAGATCCATCAGTGACAGACTGGATTAAGAAAATGTGGCACATATACACCATGGAATACTATGCAGCCATAAAAAAGGATGAGTTTGTGTCCTTTGTAGGGACATGGATGCAGCTGGAAACCATCATTCTTAGCAAACTATCACAAGAACAGAAAACCAAACACCGCATGTTCTCACTCATAGGTGGGAACTGAACAATGAGATCACTTGGACTCGGGAAGGGGAACATCACACACCGGGGCCTATGATGGGGAGGGGGGAGGGGGGAGGGATTGCATTGGGAGTTATACCTGATGTAAATGACGAGTTGATGGGTGCTGACGAGTTGATGGGTGCAGCACAGCAACATGGCACAAGTATACATATGTAACAAACCTGCACGTTATGCACATGTACCCTAGAACTTAAAGTATAATAATAATAATAATAATAAAAAGAGTTTCTCCACTTTTAGCTGAATAGATAGAAGGCAGTGTCTACTTTTAATATAGGTTGTGTTAGAACGTGCACTATAAATGGGTTATCTCCTATAGAGATGTTATAAACTTCCGACTATACTCCTAGGTCAACTTAAGGATTAAAGATCTAGGACTATACTAATGTTCCAAGTCTGGATTCTGGTTCTGTTAAAGAGAAATCTTAACTCTGTGTAGGCAGAATAAAATAATACTAAATGGAAACCAAAGAAGAGAAGGAAAAAGCAAACAAGAGTCAAGAGAAGAATAGTCTGTTAGATTTAAAGCTCAAGGGGATCTACATGTTGTTTCTGTGTCCCAAGTAATGTACGACACTATTTGTAACAACCACAGCAACCAATTTATATAAATATCCTGCTTTTTACTTGTGAAGCATTTTCCTAATTTTTAAAAAAATTTTATTGGATTAATCTTGAGGATAGGTAGGGCATGCCTTATTTTTGCCATTTGACAGATGGAAAAATCAAGGCACCCAGTGGTTCAAGGAAGTGGAAAATAGTTAATGGCACAATTAGAAACGATGTCTCCTTAATCTCAGTCCAACATATTTTTAAATAAAAACTGTATTGAAATAAAAACATGAAAGAAGTTGCTACATTTTGAAAGCAGAGAACTTAGATGCAGGGCTAGTTATGTTTTATTTTCAATGCTATGTTTGTTCTTTGGGGGATGATACTTTCTTTTACAGTCTGGTGAAAACATCCAGTGAGAATTATTGGATTCCCATTGTTTTATCAGAGACTCTTCAAAATTATAATTCCATTTACAATTACTTGTTTTCTCATCAAGAGATGTATATATTTTACATATAACCAGCCCGAGTTCTTAGTTCCCAGATATTTTCCGCAGTTAATGAATATGCTAGTTAACATGTAAAGAACAATTAAATGTATGTGATGATTTGGGTGTTAATCCACAGACTAGTTACTCCTAAGAAGTCTGGGCCTATAGAGCTGAGAAACCACACTCAAGAATGCTAAGTAACATTTTCCTGGTGAAATCTTACAGAAGTTTACCATTTCTCGGTACATTGCTACCGAAATCCCAAAGAAACAAGAGAATTTCAGAGGGGGTTGTCTAGCATATCCAAGATGCTGGGTGACAAACACTGTAGCTCCCAATATTCCCGTCCATTCAACACTTGCCTTTCCAGATAATGGGGATACATACATGGACCAGGGATGCTATTCTCTCCACTAAAAAATTAAAAGCAAAACCAGATCCTCTAAAATACATTCTTATTAAGTAAAGGAGAGTGTTCAGTTTAATTTAATAGATGCCAAAGATTGATTTTTATCTCCAGTTGGTCCAGGAAGAGATAAAAAAGTATAGGAGGTAAAACTTTTTTTAAAAAAGAAAAAGATACAAAGGTTTGCATTAATCCAGTGACATTAACCATTCTCATGATTCATTTCCTTTATCTTTCGTTAACCCACCAAAGATGACGATACGGTAATATCAGGAGTAGGTGGGGGTGTTATTATTTTATGAAGGCAACTGGCTCACTGAAGAACTCTTTTGTTAACTTCTAAAAATGTTGAAAAGATTTGACTTTCATGAATTCTCTAGATTCAGATTTTCTGAAATGGTTCAAATTTCAAATATACTATACTCTCTCTAGACTTTGTGTTCCAAGATTTGGTTTAGAAATGTGGTTCATGTTCTAAAACTCCTACCAGTTTCATTCCTATTTTGAATCTTTTTCCCCCATTTTTTTTTCTATTTTAATTTAACCGTCAACCTCTACATATTTTCTGCCGTGCCATTTCTCTTTTCTTTCTTTTTTTTTTTTTTTAATTTTTGTTTATTTATTTTATTTATTTATTTTTTTTGAAACAGAGTCTCCCTCTGTCGCCCAGGCTGGAGTGCAGTGGCATGATCTCAGCTCACTGCAACCTCCACCTCCCGGGTTCAAGTGATTCTCTTGCTTCAGGCTCCCAAGTTGCTGGGATTACAGGCGTACACCACCATACCTGGCTAATTTTTGCATTTTTAGTAGAGACGAGGTTTCACAGTGTTGACCAAGCTGGCTACAAACCCCGGACCTCAAGTGATCCACCTGCCTCGGCCTCCCAAAGTGCTGGGATTACAGGCATGAGACATGGTGCCTGGCCTGCTATGCCATTTCTATCTTTTCTTTTATAATACAAAGTTTTTTTTTTCTCCTATTGACATCTTCTTTAGAGTCTTCCTATCTCCTCTTGGTAGGCTTTCCTTTTCAATCTAAATATGTATAGACACACATATATTATGCATATTATATATAATGTATGTATATATATAATCTATATGTGTATACACATTTCATATTTCAGTCTTTCTCATTCTTCTTCCTTCAAATCACTTGCTTTACTTGAGAGGCTAGGTAATCTAGTCATCCAAAAAGAGAACTAAGACTTGTAGGTGCTTGACTTACTGTATTGCTGCTTGACATATGCCAGGAACATCCTTTTCTTGGTAGTGGAGGGTGTGGAGAAAAGGTTTGCATCTGTGTCTAAGTGTTGCAGAAAAATCCGACAGGCACAGACACACCTACTTGAAAACAATGCTGCCCTAGAAGTGGGAGGAAACCAGAACTGGAGGTGCCCTCCTTCCGGGGGTAGGAGTCCGCTAATAGTCATCCAAGGTGTGCAGGAGTGCTTTCACTCTGCGCAGGAAAGACCAGAGAGAAGTCCAGAGCCTTGCCTGCTTGTAAGTACCCACTTGTGGCTAGGGGGGAATTTCCTAACTGTTCAGGGTTGCAAAGCTTGATTAAATAACGCTCTTATTAATTTAAGAAATGACACAAGAAAGGAGAGAGAAGTCGGGCTGTTTTTAAATGCAACATGATTTTCCATTTACTTATTTATCTTTAAAACGAGTTAAAGAGCAAAACACCTGGAGTCCGGTGCTTCAGGAAGGTCTTATTGGCTGTTGGCTTTGCAGGTGTTCCTGCTGGAGAAGGTGGAGTATGGTGAGCTGCTGGCTAAGGACAGCCAGGCAACACCATGTTTGTGAAGATGTGCTCCATCTTCCCCTCTGTGCATCCCAGCTCCTCCTGCTGAAACAGCTGAGCTTGCTTTTTGGATTTCTTAGACTCCTGGCCTCCGAGAGATGCCTTTAAGGACAAACTGACCTTGCATTGGGAACTTTATCATCCAGATCCTCATAGGCTTTGTCTACTCTGGATTGCTTGTTGCAACAGTTTTTAGGAAGCATGATTGTCTCCTACACCAGCATCTGCCTATGTTTGCTTTTACCTACTCTGAGCAAGACCCAGTGAGGCCGTAGCCCTGTTGGTCCTGAAAAGCCTGAAACCTGAGGCTGTTTCTCTTGCCTCCAAAATGCATTTATAGGCAATAAGAAGCACAGAAACAGTGGAAACAAGCAGGAGGAGAAAAAGGAAAACCTAAAATTTTCAATATTCAAAAATACCTGTCGTGGTGGTTGATGCAGAGAACATTGAGTTCATCAAAGAGCTTTGTAATTGTTGGACAGAGAACACCTTTGCTACAGGAACTGATATGTTTTGTCTTTCTGGCCTAGTCAAGGGAGGATACGTAAGTATCCGGGGCATGGAAGGAATGCACTCTTGGGTCGTTTTGCTTGTATCTGACTCACCCCTGACTCTCCAGTGAAGCAGAAAGGAAGAAACCTCACACCACCCAGGTGTGGCCAGACTTTGGCCATTATTGCGAATTCGCAAGAGTTACCACGAGCTCTTCCCAAATATATATTCAATCTTGTGGTTCAAATAAGCTTTTGGCTCACATCTAGCCACATCATAAAGAATGCTGTAGAAGAGGTGACATGATGAGGCGGGAAGAGGAGGAAGAGGAGGGAGCCATGATGAAGGCAAAAGGGGGCTTGGAGATGAAGGAAGAGGAAGAGATTAGTGAGACAGGAGAACTGGTTGGCCCTTTTGTGAGTGCTATGCCCACTCCAACGCCCCACAACAAGGGCACCCGATTCTCTGAGGCATGGGAGTATTTCCATCTAGCCCCTGCTCGTGCTGGGCACCATCCCAACCAATATGCCACCTGCCGCCTGTGTGGCAGACAGGTGAGCCGTGGCCCTGGGGTCAATGTGGGTACCACAGCACTGTGGAAGCATCTGAAAAGTATGCACAGAGAGGAGCTGGAGAAGAGTGGCCATGGTCAGGCTGGGCAGTGCCAGGATCCAAGGCCCCACGGGCCCCA